GACAAGACTAATTTGGACAGCAGACTGAGGTCGGGCTCACGTGCGAGCAAACGGGGGAGAACGGATGAGTATGAGGTCATTGAGGTGGGCGTGGACTCGGGTGGTGTGAATAATAATGATGATAACAATAATAGCGATAGGGTTATTAGAGGGAGTAAGGGGTCCAAGAGCACGACTAGCCCGTTGATTTTTTCGTCACTTGATGATGGGGCGCTCGGTGTTTAGAGGTGATGAGCCGGCTAATAGTCAGCGGACGAGTGTGGAGGAGGACTATACGAGGTTTCCTGTGCAGAAGCTGAAGCAGGAGCTTACGAGACATAATTTCGGAGCTGAGCTTTTGCAGCTGAAGAATCCGAACAAGAAGGATATATTCATAGTATTCATCTGAGTAGACAATGGAATTACAAATCAAGATAAATTTGTCAATAGGGTAATAAATGTAAACTATTAGACAAATTTGCGCACAAGACACGGACTTAGGCCTATGTGCAAGTGCAACTTTATGATACTTACTTTTACAATTTTGCAGAAAAAAAAAAAATATTTACTATCTATTGCCCATTTTATTCTTTTCACTTTCTCTCACCAAACTTTGAACTTATATTTCACTTTTCTCCACCACACTTGTTAACTACCTAATTGCCCTTGGTCTTGCAAGAAAAATGGTCCATCACCATGAACGACCAGGTTCGGGATCAGCCGAGATGGGCCGTCGCCCTCAACATTCGGCCCGTAGGATATAAACGGCTGATGATCGTAATACTCCGCGAAACCCGCATTCTTCACCAACGTTCCCTCGTTAAACGCGTTGTTAGTCGAGCCTCTCGATTTCCCAAAACGCCCCTCCTTCGCGCACTGTCTTGGCTGCGTTTGGTAGAAAACTTTCGAGACAACTAATTCGCCGTCTTTCTCATCCTCGTTTTCGCCCAAGTGGTATTGGTGCATGACCCAATTGGTCTTTTCGGGTTTTCTTTGCCTGCCGTAGTTTGTGTAGAGGACGAGGATTTTTTTGTATCCGTTGATGCTACCGGATAGAGCTGAGACGGGTCGGGTTTTGCCCGTTTTGTGCCACCGGGTCTCGCCTTCACCATCATCGTCTGTGTGGACCTTGCGTCGTTTGCGCGTGCCAGTCGTGTACGCCTTGGAAGGCCGGTGGAAAAAATGACGTATTTGCCCTTCTTTGCTTACACCTATATGTAATAACAATGAAGTTCAATCCATAAAAAAGGAGAATAGTAATAAGAAGAAGAAAAAAAAATAAAAATTCATTTATGATCGAGCAATGTATATATGTGCTGTAATGCATGGTTTCATACACAAATTCTTTATAGCAAAAGGATCTTAGACAAAAACTTGAAGGTGAGGATAAGAATAATTTAGGCCTTATGTGTATATTTTACTCAAAACGGGAAGACAGAGGTTTAATCATAGGCAAACGTTATTTTTTGGTCAACTTAATTTTGTATTTTTTTTTTTAAAAAAAAAAATAATACACTAATTTTAGCGTTCATCAAACATAGTACATATTAATTTGTCAAAATCATAAAAACAAAAAAAAAAAAAATGTGATTAGCATACAAATTTGATGATACTTTTTAATGCACTAATTCACTATTCATACCCGTATAATTATTAATCATCACTTCACATCATCTCTCTCATATTTTTTTCATCCAATAAGCTTTAATTGTTTTATTGTAAGTATTAATTTAATATAAACACAAATTTTCTCTAACAACTAACAATAACACATTTTTCAAAATTAACCAAACAAAACCATAAAATCTTATATATCAAAGCATCCCTAGTATATGTAATTTTTTTTGCTCTACTACTATACTTAGAATTTTAAAGGGTACATAGTTATTATCATGATCACATGGGAATTAAATCAGCATAACCAAATATACAGTTCTGTTATGGAGTCATCGGATGGCTCGACTTACAGAGCCATCCACAATTATTCACAAATAGTATATTGACACGTGTCCTACAATTAATACACGTTAGACATGTGTCAATATATTAAGTGATCGATGACTCTATAAAAAACCATTCGATTGCTCCATATAATTTTTTACCATATAAAACTAAATAAAATTCAATTTCGTACGTAAGAAATAAGAAGCCAAGAAAAAAAACCCCACGCAATTTAATACCCTTGTAAAACTTGCTGAGCAAACAAGGAAACTCTAGTCAAACGAAAAAAGCTCCTAGTTGCCATATATATGTAAGAGGCATAAAGACAATTCCAATTTGGACACGATTTAAAGCAAGACAATTATAGATTAATAAATGTTAACAATGTTGTTAGATTGAAATAATGAGAAATGCTACGGTTCTATTACAAAACTATTGGGTCGAGATTTGTATCCGTTAGATCAACTATCCTCGACGTTAACATGATGATCTAACTGACGTTACAAATCTCGACGGAATAATTCCGTAATCGAACCGTAGCATCTCCCTGAAATAATAATAACAAAAAAAAACAACATATATTATACCTGGTAACTTCTCAGGATGAGTGTAACAAATACCATTTTCACCCTCAATAGTTGGGATAAATTCATCAATAAGAGGATGAAGTTTTCTTGTATCAGAAAGCACTTTTGCCTCCAAATGCTCAAGAATTTCTTGATCAGATGGATCGAACTTCACCCCGGCCGGTAAGCCCGGTAAATCTTGAAGCCCGGCCTGATAATTATTTACACACATACCAAAAAAAAAGTTACTTTAAGCTAATAAATCTCATATAAATAATCACACATTCTTGCACCAAATAATACCTGATCTTGGAGTTTTATTGAGTGGCCGCATGAAGGGCAGATTATCGTCCGATTTTCGCAATCTTTCGACTTTGCAACGATATTATTATTATTTATTTTATTGGCAGCTGAAATAATTTGGAGGGCAGTTGTTGTTTCTTTATCACTATCAGACCATGCCATTTTTTCTAATGTGCTGCAGCAGCTCTTATGCCCATTCCAATTTTCAGTATTTGCAGTTAAAACCCTATAGAAATTAAAAAAGAGAAGAGGGGATGAGGCTTTTCTTGCTTTTATATATATATATATATTTATTTGGTGTGGAGAAAGAAAAAGATAAATTAGGTTGCTTGGACGTCAAGTTTTGGGTTTGATTTCATGTGGATATTAATTATTGTATACACATTGTCCCTGAATATTATCAAGTCATGTCTTGTACATGTAATAATAATAGTCCTCCCTGATTAATTTCTATTAATTGCATAACAAAAACTATTAATAGGAATAAGTTAAATGTAAAATATTTACGGTGAAATCGACAATGAATATATCCCAATTATATTCGCTCGCTGGAATTTTGCAATGGATTCCGACAAAAATGATTATGTTGGAATTAGTTTTTTCATTGAATCTTTGACTATTTCAACGAACAATTGTTCCTGTGGATGAAATATATATATATGACACAAAAAAAAAAATAAAAATTGCAAATTCCAACTGTAATACAATTATAAGTTATTGTTGAAAAAATATACGTTACGATCAACGAAATTTGGACAACGTAGTAAGCTATATTATTAGAATATCTGTTTATGAATATTTTATTTTTATGTTTTTTGTGGTGAAAATATGATAATTGATCGAGCAGTAAATACGCTCACCGTTAAAAAGGTTGTCCCGATATATGGTTACTTTTAGCTCAAATGTAATGCAATGGCACTTCAAAATATTTGAATTTTGGACTAAACTTAATTGTATTTGAAACTCACAACAGTTGCTTTGAGGTCAATTACAGGAAAAATTGCACTATTCGTCCACTAATTATACTCTCATTGCACTTTCGTCCTTTAATTGTTTCCGATTTACAATTAGTACACTAACTTTTTTTTTTGGTAATTTTAGTCCAAAATGACATTCCGGTGCTTATTTTTGCCGGAATAGCTGATGTAGTGCCCAGTCAGATCGAAATTCTATTCTCAGCGTGATGTGGCACGAGGTGACGCCTAGGGTTGTAAACGAATCGAATCAAAGCGAATACTAAGAGATTCGATTCGAATTCGTTAAAATATTCGAAGATTCGAATTCGTATTCGATTCGTTAACGAACTAATTTTTTGATTCGTATTCGATTCGTTTAGAATATTCGAACATATTCGATTCGATTCGAAATTCGTTTTTTAAAATAAAAATTATAATTAAAAAATATTATAATATCAAAATAATTTTTATTTTTCATATATTTTTAGGAAAATTTGTTAATTTATGATGTGTTTACTTTTTATGTCATAAAAATAGTAGGAATATACCAATATATATATATATATATACATATATATATATACACACACATATATATTATAAACAAAATGTATCCTATATATAATTTATAAAATTTATATAATTATTGTTAACGAATCGAATATTCGAATTTCGAATCGAATATCTACAAATTCGAATTCGGATTCGTTTAACTTTCGAATATAAAACATCATTCGTATTCGAATTCGAATTCGAATATTTCGAATTCGAATCACGAATATCGAATTCGAATATCGAATCGAATCAAAAAAATTTGATTTGTTTACAAGCCTAGTGACGCCTAGTCAGATCGGAAAAATTGCACTATTGGTCCACTAACTTTACATTCATTGCACTTTCGTCCTTTAATTGTTTCTGATTTACAAAATCAGAAGAAAAAAAATATAAAGAAAATCAAAAGAAAAAGAAAAAGCTTTAAAAAGAAAATGAAAAGACATGTGGATAAAAAAAATTAAAAAAAAAAAGAATATTAATTAATTTAAAAATCATTTTGTTTAATGATTTTAAACAAAATAAAAAATATCTTTTTTTAAATAAAAATACATTTTTTTATTTAATTAAAAACAAAATAATTAATAAAAACCGAAATGAAAAACAAAATAAATGTTTACTGAGAAATAAATATTTTTTATTTAATGGTTAAATATATAATAAAAAAGAAATATTTATCATTTTTTAGTTTAAATAAAAAATATTTTTTATCTAAATAAAAAAAAAATATTTAATAAAAAAAAAATATAAAACAAAATAAATATTTAATAAATATTTTTTATTTAATGGTTAAATATTTAATGAAAAAATTAAATATTTAATAAAAAAATATTTTTGTTTTTATTAAATATTTCGTTTTTGTATTAAATACTTTATCATTAAATAAAAATATTTATCACTCATTGTAAATTTATTTCGTTTTTATTAAATATTTTATTTTTATTTAATCATTAAATATTTCATTTTTTATTAATTTAAAAAATAATTTTTATTAAATAAACAAATATTTTTTTTCTTTTTCTTTTGATTTTTCCTTTTTCTTTTTAAAGCTTTTTATTTTTCTTTTGATTTTTTTAATATTCTTTTCTGATTTTGTAAACCGGAAACAATTAAAGGACGAAAGTGCAACGAATGTAAAGTTAGTGGACGGATAGTGCAATTTTTCTGATCTGACTAGGCGCCACCTCGTGCCACATCACGCCGAGAATGGAAATTCCGATCTGACTGGGCGCCACATCAGCTATTCCGGCGAAAATGAGCACCGGAATATCATTGTGGACTAAAATAACCAAAAAAAAAAGTTAGTGTACCAATTGTAAACTGGAAACAATTAAAGGACAAAAGTGCAACGAGGGTATAGTTAGTGGACAAATATTGCAATTTTTCACATCTTAAGATCTTAGAACTCCCATGTTTCTTTGCTTTGTATTTGTTTTCGTTCGAGTTGTGGAGACATTGTGTTAGTAAAGTTCGAATCTTTAGTTAATGTTCACACACTTAGTTTTATTGCTTTCAATTTCCTAGGTTATCTTATCTAAAATCAATCAACCAATCTTGCTAGAATGTTTAGGATCTTTAACTTTTACCTTTTGTGCTTTGACGATTAGTAGTAAACAAAGCTTCGAACAACATTCTTGAGAAGATGGCCAGATGTAGATTGTTTTGTAGTTTTTAACCGAATACGGAATAAATTTCAACATCGGGTCGTGTCTCTCGAGGAAAATTGTTCGGACACGAATTCAAGCAACGATCCACTCACACAAAGGGAAAATAAAAAATCGCAAATAAAAGGGAAAAATAAAAAGTCCTGAAAACATTCTACTCGCAAGATTTGGTAGTTGGATTACTAAATGTCGCAACTTCACGCTAGAATGAAAGCAAGATGGAAACTTTAAAGCAAACAACACTTCAAATTGCAAGAAAAAGGAAAATAGTGAGAAAAATAATATTAAATTCCTTCTTATCCGTTTGTTAAGATCTTAAGGGGGCGATTGGATATGATTTCAACAGTAAAAAAACCAATCAAAATTCAAATTTAACTCAACTTTAACTCAACTCCACTATCTCCAATATTATCAATATAATTAATTAATCATATAACATCAAACAATCATTCTTACACATCACATCAACTTTAATTCACTATTTATCCACTCACATAATTTTAACTAACAATCACTTCCAATAATTTTTATCCTAATTTACATCAAATCAACTGTAATTATTTTATTAAATATTATTTTAATATATCCACTAACAACTAACTACACTACCTTTTTTCAAAATTAACTATAGTTAAAAAATTAACAGTCACACCCTAAGTTGGGTTTCTGTCTAATCTTGGGTATCACGCTTAACTTCTCTGCAGGTCGCTTCTACATGGTGGGTATCTTATCGAGATACCCTTAACATGAGCTACAGGTAGCGATGACGTTGTTTGGGTGTCTTCAAGTAATATCTTGCTTCATAGGTTGCATCTATCGAGACTTTGATCTAATGTAGACCTCTTTGCATGCTTTCGGCTTACTCTTCTATCGGCTCTTCTCCACCTACTTACAGTGGCGGACTTACATAGGGGCCCGTAGGGGCACGGGCCCCTGTAGAAATTTTTTAGTAATATAGTATATATGTGTTATAAATGTATTATTATATTGACATAAAAATACATGTTATTAATTATTATGCAAATTTATTTCAATATAAGATAGTAAAAATAAAATATTTAGAATTATTTAAGCTTAAATAGTATGTAATTTTATAAGTTGTGAAATTTGTGTTTATGCTATACTCAACTTCATGTTTATTTCATTTTTTCCTCCAAAATACATAAACAAATCTTATACATAAATATATATATATAGGGATGAGATCAAATATGTCTCTGTTCTTAAAATGAGAATGTGATACTCAATCCTAACTATTAAATAAAAAATAAGATGTCTGGTTAAGATTTTATCTTTTTTATTTTTTTTTTAATTGGTTAAATATTAATTTGACGGTTGACAATTTGACATCCGACATTGCCCGTTGACCGTTGACTGAAATTTGTGCCCCCGTTGTCTTTTAGGGCTGCGTCCGCCCCTGCCTACTTACACTTTACTTCGGTTCACCAGTAGGGCGATATCATCTAGTTCTTCATGGTCTTACTCTATTTGGGTTCGAGCTATATATAGAGTAAGGTCAACAGTCCGTGAGAGTGTGTTGCATTTGAAAGGACATTTTTATTGATTCGTATCTCATGCCCGTTCTTAACAATGGATCTGTCCCTGATCTAAGGCCTAAAATCACTTGAAAATCACCGATGCTCTTGCATCTCTAAGAAGTTCTTTGTCTAATTCCTTCAAAAACTCTGTTTCTACCTACAGACCATGGGCAAGTCCTTTTAATTATTTGTTTTTCAATATTGTCTTGGCACGCTCGAATGTTGGTTCCACATAGGATTAAATGGACCGTTAGTCTGTTACGTGCGGCTCGCGTGATTATTTCTGGTGGAATTATGAATTTTCGACTAGTCGAGGGCCTTTTAATAATCATTTTTTTTTTTAAATATAAGGGATGAAATTCAAAATCGCAATTCGAAGGCAACAAAACACGTTGCCTTAGCGAAATATACCTAACGAAAAACGTCACAAGGATCTGAAGTAGAATCTCATT